ACACACACACACACACACACACACACACACATACACATTAAGCAATGATTTATGAAAATTCATATGATATGGATAATCAATTGTTTATAATTTCAACGAATTTTAGTGTTTTTTTTTGAAAATTTCAAATGATTTTTTTGCAAATTTTACTCTCTCCACATATGAAATTTAAAAGTAAGTCGCATAATATATCTGTAAACAGAGCCTTTTTTTTAATCTCTCAACTATCCTTTATCATTCTAATCTTATTGCTTTAAAACATAAAGGAAATAAAATAGCTCGAGCAGTTGTGAAAGATGAAAAATGAAAACAAAATTCCTCTCTATCAGATGTCATTTCATATTTCGATCGATCATATTTAAAATAACTAAGAAAGTTAGAAATGATTTCAAATAGACTTAAAAATATACGTTTTATTTAATGCACAGTAATTCGGTCTACCAGTATAGTTATAGAAATTTGAGATTTAATTACATAGCAGATTATAATAACTTTATTAGATTATAAGAGATGTTATTAGATTACAAGATTTTTTTTCTTTTTTTCAAAAATAATAATTTTAAAAAATAAATATGCTAATTTGATATAATTATTTTTGGGTTTGATATATCATCTATAGAATATCTGTGTTTAAAACTAATTTTAGACGATAGCTCTTGAAAATTCTCTTTCGTTTTTTCGATCAAATTTTTTACTGTCTGTTATGTTGTTTGAATTTATTAATATATATTTTAATTTTAGAGGTTACTATCACGAGAGCAGAGTGCATCGTTGCAAGAAATGAGATTACGTACGCTCGAATCACAGGTAATTTACTTTGTTCATTATTAGGAAATTTTAAGTCTTAATGTTAAATCATCCTATACAATCTTATTGAAGTAATCAAAAATTCAATCGTTAAAATTTTATATAGAAAAATAATTTTAAATTAAATTAACACTGTAATCAGTATAGTTTTATGTTTGAAATCAGTAGAATCGTAAAGTTTCTTAATGAAACTTCACGATTTCGTTGATTTAAATTAATATATTTTTCACTTGCTAGAAATTTCTATCGTGTATTTTTTGCAAGTTTAACTCTAGCTTTTTCTTTTCTATCACATCACATATCATACAATTTGAAACTTCAAGTTAAATTTTTAATTAGTGTAATTCAATACCGTTAATAATTTTTAGTGCCCTAAATGGGCTTTATTTATTCATTTTTCTTTAAGAACTTT